GCAAAGAGTAGTACCAATATTTTCCAAACAAATAAAATCGTTAGGGCAAAAACTCAATATTTTACAGGCCATCAGTCCTAATGATACCTTTATTTTGAAGTTATTTAGGCCACCATCATTAAGAGTTACTGTCACAAAGTGAATTTAAATCTAGCCAAGTTTATGTATAAAAAATTCAGAAAATAATTGTGTTGAATACATGAAATTTTATTTTATTTATTAATGAATTACTAAAAACTACAAGATCTGAATTAAAAGGTAAGTCAAAAGTTGTATTTGTTATGAAGACAACAGCATACGAATATCATTATTGTCAGTAACATCCTAACAAGTTTAACCATTTGTATCAATAAGTTTACTATTTGCATTAAATGATAGTAAGGACGTACACAATCAACGTGACCACATTGCAAAACTTCCAAGATTGGCTTCTTTGACAAAGTCAAAAACATCTTTTTCATATTCAGCTTTTTGTACTACATCATTTATCGGTAGCCCAGTGAAATGAACTACCCAACTGAAGGCAGGTTTAGATTTCTGTGCACTTTTTAACTTTGGCTGCCAAACTGGACTAAGTTGTTTTACGTTTTCAATATATAAATTGTTTACAAATAATGTTGAACACAAACAATATTATTCAAATGTCAAAAATTACCAAAACAATATTGCCATATTTTAATATTCGTTCTTATAGTTTTCTTTGGTAGGTGCATGCACGCAAATAATGCTTACATTAAAAAAATTTTGGTTTGACTCTTATGACATAGACGTTCGCTAACAGCCCTAAATTCAATAATAGAATGGTTAATTTTCTGTGATACAATAAAAATATGTGTTTGCTTGATTTGTTTCTGAGTTTATGACATGTTTCTTGTGCAGCCAGTATATATATTTTGTATTTTTTTGCTTGTTATAGATTTTTCAACATAAGCTCACTATATGAGCTCATTATATTCCATATTCCAATCGTATATCGTAAGTCGTGATATTTTTTTTCCTACGTTTGTCGTTAACTGGGTTTGCAATACTAACCGAGGTATTTTCGTGGGTTTCATTACAAAAAGTTTTCCGAGACAAGGTTGTAAGCCTTGAGCTCAACAACCCTATACCAGGATGACCAGCCCTGGTATAGGGTTTTTATTCTTTAAAAAAAGTCAAAAGGTTCAGCCCCATCCCTATTTACCTCCACAAGAACAGGACGGGTAAGGATACCGTTGCAACTGAAGATAATGAATCATCTCCGGTATTCCGGGGGTGCAAATACCAAGGGTGATGGTAAGAAGTATTGAAGCAGAGGCTACAAGGTGCGAAATCAGCATCCAACCTCATGAAAATGAGGACATTGATGACCTCGACTTGACGCTTCTGAACTTGGCGGAACTAGTAGATTCGGATCGTGTCTTACTCTCGGATATCGATGATGGTCAACTGACAGAGAAAAAAACTAAGACTAAACAACATCCATGACCAGTGTTATGAAAGGATTCAAGGATCGCCTATCGACTAGTGGAAGGAAACAACCTAACAGTATAGTGGAAAGTATTACTGAGCTTTTCAGCGGCTTAATGTTCTTTCAGCATCTAAATGCCGCATAGAACACGATTCAAAATAAAAGACGTTACCTTGTCTTAAGTCAAATTGAATTTTACTTTATTGTTAAAAATCTTGAGATTTTATGCTTATTCTAGCTTATTTACTAAACAATTATTATTTACTTTTATTTAATTTGAGTAACCAATCAATGCATTGGTTACTTTCATAAATTCTATTACCTTTACAATTAATATATATTATACATTATATATAAATACTCTTCTAACGTATTACAATTATACTATTTGTAAGAGTTAAATGTACCTTCTGGAATTTAGGTTGGAATAGTGCAACGACCACACAAGCTTATGAGTCAAAATATTTATTTTAAGTAATATGATGTGCATATCATAATTTATGACACATTTACATGTAGGTTCACATATAGCATTGATATACATTAAGACTGAAAAGTTTTCGGAAATTCTCATTTAAAATTCGCGCGCTGTATATTTTTCGATATTTTAAGTTTATGTAGTTTGGCAGCACTGTCCTTAATTACTATGCCAAAAATGAGCGCGATCTGTCAGACAGTTCGTTTACGGCAGCTGTTGAAACCAGTTCACCTCAGTAGTGCGTTGCGAAATGTCTTCGACGGTCGTACGACCGTCCTGAAAGGCTTTGTACCACTCATAAACTTGAGTTTTCGATAAAACTGATTCCCCATAAGCCTTTTGTAGCATTCGCAACGATTCTGCACACGAAATTTCGTTCGAAACACAAAATTTGATGCAAACTCTTTGTCCAATATTTTTTTCCATTGTTTTTTT